GTTTAGGGACTTAAGTGGGTAATCGTCCAAAGTTTGGGGGACAAAGTGGAATTAACCCGAATAGTAAATATAATTGTTGCGTTGCACTACACCGAGGAAAGGCAAGTAACTTTCGCCGTTTTCTAGTTAGAAGGTGCGGCCTGTTCCTGGTGGAATGTAGTAAGGGCAAAATGGGACAGGGAGGAAACTCCATGCCCTTGATTTAACTTCACAAGGAAGTTTAACGAGAAGTTCCTTCCGCCTTTAATTCAGGAGAAAAGAGCGGATGAATTTATCAAACTGCGCCAAGGCACTTCAAGTGTGGCAGAATATAAGACCCAGTTCACCAGACTCTCTAAATTTGCTCCGGAACTGGTGGTTAATGAGCAGAAAAGCATAAGGCAATTTGTACAAGGTTTGAATGCGGAGATCTAGAAAGACTTAGCCGCAACCCAAATTGATACGTTTAAAGATGCGTTGGAGAAGGCTCAACGAGTGGAACAGACTTGATTTCAAGTTCGGACCTTTCAAACAAAGAGACGAGGTGCATCTAGTAGTACTATCGGATAAGGCGATCAGAATGTACTGGCTCCTGAGTTTGGAAGAGGTACGGGTGGAGTTTGTATCTCAGGGACACCGAGAGGAGCTCCATCTAGAGGGGCCCACAACAGGTGAGGCCAACAGAGGTCTGTTTCCCAAGGAGGTCCGACACCGGCTCCTCGAGCATGCTGTATATATTGTAGTAAGGCAAACCACACGAGAATGCTTGTTGGCGAAAACTGCAGAAGTGTCTCCGTTGCGGTAGCTCTGAGCATCAGATTGCAGCATGTCCTGTTAAACTCCGTGAAGGGAACGAGGGTGTGCAGCCAGAGAAGTCAAACTCTAAACAACCAACTGCTAGTGGGAGTAGACCGAAAGCCTCTGCTAGGGCTTTTGCCTTGGACTATCAGCGAGCCCCTGAGTCCTATAAAGTAGTGGAAGATACGATCCCTGTATTCCACCGCTTAGCTAAGCTTTTAATTGACCCTGGGGCAACTCATTCTTTTGTGAATCCCGCTTTCATGTATGGTATTGACATAAATCCTGTTAAATTACCCTATGACTTGGAGGTTAGAACACCTACTGAGGATCAAAACCTAATTATCAACATGGTTTACAAAAATTATGAGATTTGGGTAGGTAGACGGAAGTTGGTGGTAGACTTGATAAGTTTGGATCTCAAGGGGTATGACGTGATTAGGATTGTCAACGGGCCGGGTCCGGGCCGAAATTAATAAATCCGGACCCGAACCCGTTATACTGCATTACTTCCAGACTCGACCCAAATATCCGACGGGTCTCCTAATATATCTACCGGACCCGCACCCGACGGGTCCCGGATCCGGGTCGGGCCTACCCGGAAAAAGGCCCGAGAAAACCTGTTTTTGCTACAACTTCAGCGCCTGAAAATGCAGTCTGATTTTTATCACATTTTACGGACTACACAAGCCTTTGCGAAATCAGGGAAGTTATTTAATTTGCCGAAGAAGCAGAATTGAACTTTTGTTGCCGAAAATTACAAATGAAAGAGCTATGGTGCTTGTCAGAAACAATACAACCCACATTTGATATTATACAGGAAAACATACAACTCAGCCACAACAAAGCTGAAAAAGACAAAGACCTATGACTTGTTTCCAACTAACTTGTATATATTCGTAGAAATAGCTATGGTGCTTGTCATAACAGCTAGAATGACCATTGCTACTGCTATTATTCTGTCCCTTCTTGTTGAAATGACGTGGATATCTCTGCCAAAGGAAAAAAAAAACAAATGGTTCAATTTAACAGCGAAATCACAAACCAAGAAAACAATGGCAATTTCAGTTAATCTTTTGTTTTTTTCCCCTTACTATCCGCATAAGGTGGGTTCGGTAATACCTTAAAGCAATTAAGCCTGGGAAGATGAAGGCAAGGCAGACAGCAAAAGCTCCAATTTTTTCAGCTTACCAACAGTGAAATTTTCCCTCAACAGCTGGAAGAGTTGGGCTTCTTTGGAGCTGCAACTGTCACTCCGTCAGGCGTCAGAGATGAAGAGAGCTCGCTGGTTTCACGGCGGACTGGTCACTGGCGGAAGCGGAGGCGGAGGATGTGAGGGGGACTGGTCACTGGTCAGAAAAGAGGGGAGGATGAGAGGCCGGTAGAAAAGAGGGGAGAATGAGACTGGAAGAGCTGGCGGAGGCGGGATGTGGGGCGGGACTGGTCACGGCAGAGCAAAAGAGAAAAGAGAGTGAGGGGAAAAAGAGATGTGCGGCTGTGGGTAGGTTAGGGTTCAATAAATTTGGGAACGAAAGTAGTAATGTAGGTATATATTGTTTTAATTATTAATTAATTAAAACGGGTTCGGGTAGGATATGGGTTGGAATGGTATATTCCGTATCCGACCCGTAAATTTATTAGATAAAATGGGTCCGGGTCACGGATCTATATATCTACCCGTACCCGGAAAATGTTGGCGGGTCCAGTCCGGGTCCGGGTCCAGACTCGGACCGTTGACAGCCCTAGACATGATTATAGGCATGGATTGGTTGGCTCGTTATAATGCTCAGTTGAACTGCAAGACTAAGGTGGTGGAGTTCTTTATACCCGGAGAGGCAACCCTAAGATTGAATGTGCGAGGTAGACTAGCCTCATCTACACTTGTTTCGGGAATTCGAGCCAGGAAATTATTGAGTAAGGGGCGCAGGGTTACTTAGCTTTCTTGATTAATACTCCTGGAGATAAGGTGAAACTGGAAGATATGTTAGTGGTAAATGAATTTTCTGATGTTTTCCCTGACGAGTTGAAGTCGATGCCGCCAGAGAGGGAAATAGAATTTAAAATCAATTTGGTACCTAGAACCGCTCCTATTGCAAAAACACTATATACTGAATGGCTCCTGCCGAACTTAAGGAACTAAAATTGCAGTTACAGGATTTGTTAGAGCGAGGGTTTATTCAAAAAAGTGAATCACCTTGGGGAGCGCTTGTTCTATTTGTTAAAAAGAAAGATGGTAGTTTGAGACTGTGTATCGACTATCGCAGCTTAAATCCTTTGCCACACATTGACGAGTTGTTTGACCAGTTGCAAGGAGCAGTGGTTTTCTCTAAGTTGGGCTTGAGGCAAGGTTATTATCAACTACGAATTAAGCAGGAGGATATACCGAAGATTGCTTTTAATTCTAGATATTGGTATTTTGAGTTTGCAGTGATGCCTTTTGGTTTAACAAATGTTCCTGCTGCATTTATGGATTTGATGCATCGAGTCTTTAAACTTTACTTGAACCAATTTGTCGTGGTGTTCATAGATGATATCTTGGTGTATTCTAAGACTCGAGAGGATCACGAATGGCATTTGAGGATAGTTTGGCAAACCTTAAGAGAGCATCGGTTATATGCCAATTTTAGCAAGTGCGAGTTTTGGCTGGAGTAATTTTCTTTTCTAGGGCATGTATATCTAAAAATGGCATTTCTGTGGATCCAGTGAAAGTAGAAGCCGTATCTGGGTGGAAACAGTCAGAGACTCCAACTGAGGTCCGTAGTTTCCTAGGTTTAGCCGGGTACTACAGTCGGTTCATCAAAGATTTCTCCAAATTAGCTGGGCCTTTAACCGATCTGACAAAAAAGCATGGCCAATTTGTCTGGGGTTCTAAGTGTGAAGCTAGTTTTCGGGAATTAAATAAACGGTTGACTTCGGCGCCAGTCTTAGTCTTGCCAAATGGGAAAGACAGCTTCACCATATATACGGACGCTTCAAGAGAAGGATTGGGATGTGTTCTAATACAGAATGGAAATGTGATTGCCTATGCCTCTAGGAAATTAAAACCTTATGAGCGGAATTACCCGACTCACAACGTGAAATTGGCCGCTATAGTCTTTGCCTTAAAAAAGTGGAGGCATTACTTATATGGGGTGAATTTTGAGGTTTATACCCATCATAAGAGTTTGAAATATCTATTCTCTCAAAAGGAGCTAAACTTGAGACAACGTCGAAGGGTGGAATTTCTTGAGAATTATGACTGTACAATTAACTACCACCCGGGGAAGGCCAATGTTGTAGCAGATGCCTTAAGTCGAAAAGTTCAAGTAGCTGGATTAATGGTCAAAGAATGGAATTTGTTGGAAAAAGTGAGTGAATGGAATCCATGGTTGGACCGACAAAGAGTAATCTTCGGCAATATCACGGTGAGATCTAATCTGTTGGACCGAATTAAAGAAGCTCAAAAAAATGACTAGATGGTGCAAAAATGGGTAGAAAAAATGCAAAAAGGGGAAATCTCAGACTTTAATGTGAGTTCCGGGGGTATCTTGAAATTTCGTGATCGGATAGTGGTACCGCAAGATAAAGTGATAAAAAGAGAGATTTTGGAGGAGGCACATCGATCTAAATATACAGTATATCCCGGAAGCAATAAAATGTATCAGGATTTGAGGAGACTGTATTGGTGGGATAAAATGAAAAAAAAAATTGTTCAGTTTGTCCAAAAGTGTTTAATGTGCCAGTAAGTGAAAGCTGAACATAAAAAACCCTCAAGTCTTCTACAACCTCTTGAAATCCCTGACTGAAAATAGGAACATATTACCATGGATTTCGTATCAGGGTTACCCCGTACCCAGAAAGGTCACGACGCCGTTTGGGTAATAATAGACAGGTTAACCAAGTCTGCTCATTTCTTGCCTATAAATATGAGATACTCCTTGGAGAAATTGGCCCAACTATACATGGATGAAATAGTGAGATTGCATGGTATTCCAGTAAGCATTGTTTCTGATAGAGATCCACGGTTCATGTCTCATTTCTGGCAACAGTTACAAGGAGGTTTAGGGACCAAGTCGAACTTTAGTGCTACTTATCATCCCCAAATTGATGGACAATCAGAAAGAACCTTTCAGACACTTGAGAACATGCTAAGGACTTGTATCTTGGATTTTGGTGGAAGCTGGGGATAGTATATGGTGTTAGTCGAATTTGCGTACAATAATAGTTATCATTCCTCCATACAAATGGCACCGTATGAAGCTCTTTATGGAAGAAAGTGCCGATCACCAATATACTGGGATGAAATAGAAGAAAGAAAGGTTTTAGACCCAACTGCAGTACCATGGATCGAGGATGCGTATGAGAAGGTGAAAGTGATACATCAGAGGCTTCAGACAGCGCAAAGTCGACAGAAGAGCTACGCCGATAATCGACGAAAGGATTTGGAGTTTGAAGTTGGAGACAAGGTATTTCTAAAGGTCACACCACTTCGAAGTCTCACGGCGGAAAAGGAAAGAAGCTTCAACTGAGATATATAGGACCTTTAGAAATTCTTCAACGAGTAAGGAATATGCTTACCGGTTGGAATTACCAGCAAGTCCATCCAGGATCTATGACGTGTTTCACGTTTCTATGTTGAAGAAGTATCATCCAGACCCCACTCATGTACTGAACCCAGAAGAAATTGACATTGATGAATCGCTGACTTACGAAGAAAGGCCGGTACAGATCTTAGATCGAAAAGTAAAGGAATTAAGGACTAAACAAATACCCTTGGTAAAGGTTTTGTGGAGAAATCATGAGGTAGAGGAAGCTACTTAGGAAGTGGAAGAGGACATTCGTACAAAGTATCCTGAGCTATTCAGTGATCAAGGTGAGAATTTCGAGAACGAAATTCTTTAAGGGAGAGAGAGTGTGAGAACCCTCACTTTAAAACATAATTCTCCTAAATTATATGCCTTGCCCTAAGATTTAAATCACTTATAACATGTCCTTACATTGCATTCTACATGCATTATAACATTTCCCTTGCATTGCATTTCATTATCTTTTACTTGAATTAAAACATTTCCTTGACTTGGTTTTATTTTATTTCAACACGTACACTTTCACCAAATGTCTTTTTATTAGTGGTTGGGACTTTATATGATAGTTCAGGGTGTTAAATAGGCATTGGCATATTTGGAGGGTAGAAACATCATTAGTCAAAAGATTAAGGGAAGAAAGGGCCAAGATTGGGCCAGGTGGCCAAACCCTAATCACACATCTTGTTTGACCAAAAGGATTAGAGGAAATTTAAACCAAATTTGCTCCATTTTATCCTCCTTATGGCCGAACCTCTTGAAGCTTCCAAGGGAAGGAATAAAGCTCCATCTTCTTGTTTTAAATCCCTAGTTTGATCTTGAGCAAAAACCAAAAGAGAAAGAGATTGAGTTAGTGGAGTGAACAACCTTCAACCCTAGTGTGTGTTGCAAGCTTGGAGCTTTAGTTTTGGTGGTTTGCTTTGGTGATTCAAGCCTCACTTAAGAAAGGTAAATGATCTTTAAATCTTAGTTTTATGGTGTTATATCATATGTTTTAAGTTTTGATGGCAAACTAGAAGTTGTTTGGATGATATTTGTGGTGAAACTTCTTGAACTAAACAAGTGGTAATAGGGTTGGTTGGTTGGCATACCATGTGTTTGATGAAATGTTTTAGCTTTGTTCATGGTTTTTCTTGAAGTATTAACAAACCCTTTTTGAGTTAATGATAACACTTGGTATGATGTTTAAGTAAACTACAATGAAAGGATGAAGGTTGGTGAGATAAGTGAATTAGTGGACTGTTTTGTTTACTCTTGGTTGACCGGTTTTGTAGGAGAGGTTTCTCCTTGATTTTGTGGTTCATTTGTACCTTATTTAAGGCTAAGAAACTTGAATAAAACATTGGTTTAAGGCTTGGTGGGAGTTTAAATGGAAATTAAACAAGACAAGTGGTTGTTTTTTGGTAAGAAATGGATTGTTTTGGTTTCTTTTTGTGGCTAGACTGCTTTGACTCTTTTAATCATTTATGTGTATTGCATTTTGAGCTCCAATGGTACTAGATAACTTGCTCCCCTGTATATGAACCCTAAGAAATTGGTTTGGATGAATTTGAACCAAAACAAGTGATGTTAGGAACAAGAACTAGTGTAGCTTTGCTAGGGTTTTAGAGCTGATCAGAACTGGAAAATCAGCCAATTTCCCCAAATCACTGGTACTAATAGGAGACGAAGTAGAGTGTGTATTTGGTACCATTGGAAAGCTCTATTAGTTTAGTTTCCAACGCCACTAACGGCACCTGATTCCGACCTTCCTACAGTAAGACGTGGCCATTTTCCCGTGACTGCGCGGGGGCACGACTGTTTTACCCGCGAAGAAGACTTTGAACTTGAATGAAAATTTTCTTTTGCCCAACTTTCTTGCACTTGTCAAACTTGTTTTCTTATGACCTTTTACTGCATTTTGGGCCTAACTTGCGTGGTGAATTGAGTAGATTTAACTACTCACTTAGTCACCTAATGAACGCACATTTGGGTTGGAAATGAACCTAGATTGTTAACGATTTCACTCGTTACCCTAGAATTGGGAAACAGAGGTGATCGTAACCAAAGGACTTGATGTTTGATCACTGTATTGCTTGACAGGTGAGTATTCCACTACTTGTTAACTGTCTATGTGAAATATCTGAATACTTGATTTGCGACTGTTTGAGCCAAACATTGTTTAGATAAAAATTGAGGCGAACGTGTACTTTATCGCACTCGGCCTCCCTCGATTCAACTGAGGCTCTGTATACTGCTGTTATGAGATGTGATTTCTCTATATATGACTGTGTATGAGTTGTTTGGGTGATACCACGTCAACTACAGCTACTGTTTAGGTACCTAACCTCATAGGTGAGTCGGTTGTATCGAGCCAGCAAGGGCTTGGTCGAGAAAACTGATAAACCCTTAGAACTGTTTACTGAAAATTGAAAACTGGTATCCTCGAGTATTACCTACTTACTGTTTGTGGTGTTCGGGCCCGGTAAGGAGGTTGACTGGTGGACGGGAATTGGGGAAAGTGGTGTTCTACGAACATTGTATTCTTAAATGCAAACGTTGACGGAGAGTCAACGGATTCTCGGATGATCAAACTCAAGTGGATTTGGCTTTTGGAAGCCATCCCGTATCCTTGAATTGAACTGTGATTAAATTGTTATAGTACAATACGGTGCTTACTTGTCTACATTACGCCTTTATTTGGCCATGTGCTTACGTGTTTATTTGGAACCTCACTAAGTTTTAATTCTCCCCATTCCTTTTGTTTTTCTTAACAGATCGGGGATGGAATTATGGCCAAGAACTTTCATAGTTTAAATTTTGTCTTGAACTTGCATTTTTGGCTTGTACTAATTTTGGTTAGAAGACCTTACTTTTGACTCTTGTAAGTTTGAATTTATAAGCTCGACGTATGTTATGTGAATTAAGTATGGAGTGGTAAGTTTGACATTTAGTCCATATTCTAAGTTTGGAAAGTTGGTGTGGCAATTATATTTCCATTAGGGTTTGCACTCTTTGCTTTGAAGATATTTCATCAGTTTTCTTGAGTTGCTAGTTCTTTGATCGACCGAGCCCCTGCGAGAGTTGGGCAGGCAATCCGCTGATATCCTAGGGTTCGCCCTAGGGAGAGGTAGGGCTGTCACAGGTGGTATCAGAGCCTAGGTTTGAATTGGCCTGAGCGTGTTAGGAATTTTTGACTTGAGGATTATAGTTGATCATTTTCCCTTAAGAGTACTTAAGTTTTATCTACACTTTGTGTAGGATGGACGGACATAGTGGTCCAAGCGATAGTCAGGTTGGCACGCAGCCCCCTGCCCCATTACCTATGATTAGATACCAGATTCGGCTAGGAGGAGCTGTCGTGCATTGGAGTCCAGCTAACCGCCATCGGCGATGTGAGTGCCGCCATACTTATGCCTATCCCAATACAGTAGTTCTGGCTGTGGTGGAGGAGAGAAAGGCTCCAGCGAAGGATAATACTAAGCTTGAAGCTGAAGTGAATCAGTTAAAGGAAACTATTAAGATGCAAATCGATCGGATCAAAGAACTTGTGTATGATGTGGTTGATGGTCAAGAAAGAGTTGATGACCTCTGTGCGCAGCTTGGAGAAGCTCAAGAGCATATGGTTAAGGGGGCCATGAAAGTGAAGAATAGAGCGGAGTCCATTCTAAATATTTGTGATGACCTACTTGGAGATGTGAGCGATGAGGCTTCCCACATCAGAGGCAAGGCAGGAGCTGAACCTGCCCAGGATAGGGGGTCAGCTAGTCCCGCGGTGGACTGAGTCCTGATTGTTAGGTTACTATTTTGGGTGATTTTGACCTTTGTAAATAGAAAGGATAGGGGATGTGGTGACTTGGTGGTTGCACAGTTTTCTTTTGACTATTTACTTTGGCTTTTGCATGATATGAATTGATGAACTGTGTCTGTACTTTTGAGACTCGTACTTGATACTTTTGGCCTTGTTAGCTTGTAAATGACTGCTATGAGCCTTTGAATGTATAATACTTAACTTTGACTTTGGCTTTGACTGTGACGCCCCGAAAAAAATGAGTTTGAGAACCCGGAAATTTTCTAATTTTCTAGGGTTTATTTTATTTAATCGCCCGCTTTTTCTACATTTTCTTTATTAGAAAAAATTCCACAGATAATGTTTATGAGCAAAGATAGTTTTAAATTGATTTTTCTATGTATCGGTTAGTTGTTTTGAGAATTAAAAGCCGTATTTGAAATGTGGGATCCGCACTTAGGCCGCGAAAAGTTCGGGAAAATTCGACGCATTAGGTTAAGTTCGGATACTGGGTGAATAGTTTATCGGGTGTTATAGAGATAAGTAGAGGAGGTGAAGTGATTTGATGGAGAGGTGAAAAAGAAGGATAGAAATGCATTTTAATGAAGTGACACGTGTCCACTTTGTGAGTGGTTGAAGCCTAAGACAACTATTCACCCTTTTTGACTTTTTGCCATTTAGTTAAATATCTCACAAAAATCACTAAAATTCACTCTTTTCTTCTCCTCCATGGCTGGTTCTCTCTTGAAACTCTTCACCATTTTAGCTTCCATTTAGTTCAATCTTCCAAAACCAATTGCCTAAACTAGTTTCTACTCCATAAAATCCCTCCATTAGGAGCTAGTAAGTTGTTTGGTGAAGTTTTTAAGGAAGCTAAGGTGTTCTACAACTCCTTCTCTCTTGTTTACTAGGTAAGTGGTGATTACACTTCCTCCTACACTTAATGAAGCTTAAGTTGTGCTTAATGGTAGCTAAAGTGATGAATTTGTGGTTTATTTCTTGGTTTGAGATGAATTGGTGAAGGTTTTCAATTTATTGATGAATTTTCTGGTTTAATGTGATCATGATGTTGTGGTGATTTATGATGGTTGGTAATGAGGGGTTATGACTCTAGTGGATGTAAATGATTGGTAATTGCAACCAATTTCTGTTTTGGACCAAAAATTGAAAAGTGAGGGTTTTGTGATGAACATTCTGTCCGAATTTTTAGGTCATAGATAGAGGCCGAATTGGCCTTGGCTTAAAACATGAAAGTTGTAGGGAATGATATTTTAAAGGTGCCTACAAAATTTCAGGTCAATCGGAGTAGTGTGGAATGAGATAAGTCGAAATTACTATTGCTGTTCTGGGTTCATCAGGATGTTAGAACTGCGTATGAAATGGGTTGTTTTGACTGGAATTGTTTTGGATTTGGGTGTTGAGGTCTTCTGATGAAATGTAGCTTAATGTCCTAGCTACCATATTCCTTT